TCGGACAGGGCAAGATATGACAAATTAACAATTTATAAATTATCAAGGGCCCATGAGGGAGGGGGGAGCAAGGAGGGAGGGGAAAAATGAGGAGCTGATGCCAGGGGCTTAGGTGGAGAGGAAATGTTTTGAGAATGATGAGGGCAATGAATGTACAGATGTGCTTTACACAATTGATGTATGTATGAATTGTGATAAGAGTTGTATGAGCCCCTAATAAAACGATTTTAAAAAAAAGAACCCGGACTGAGGGGCCTCGTGAGCTGGGGACGTCCCCAGGCCAGGGCCTAAACTTCCTCAACCGTGAGCAGTCTCTTTACACTGCGAAGATGTTTGGCCCAAAGTGTGAAGACTGTCACAGGTGAGCACTACCTTTCAAAAACACATCAGCCACAGACCACAGACCACCAAAGGGCCACAACGACTGTAAAGCAGAGGTGAGGAGGGGGGGTGGAGTGGGTGGGAGGGGTGACACAGGACAGCGGTCAGCCCAAGGAAGACAACCAGAGCAGGATTTTTGAGTGACCGATGCCGCTGACCATTACATCTAGAAGCTATGGGCCAAGGCTAAGTTTTGCTGTGTGTCTTTTAGCAAAAGCAAACTGTGAACAAAAGGAGACCAAACCAGGCAAATGCAGTCTTTGCCTGAGCTGAGATCCACACAGAAAAGTGAAACCCTAGCTGTCCACAGGGACAAGGGGGACAGTCCAGGAGACTGACTTGGCAAGAAGGCAGGCCAGGCCGCTGAGGGTGAAGCAGGCAACTGGGAGCAGAGGTAGCTGATGCAGGACCCCAGGAGAGGCCGCAAAGTACTTGGAAATGAACCCCAACAACGATCCACAGTGATCCTGAAACCGTCTAGAGAGAACAGTCGGGACAAGGACCGCACAGACACACGCAGGGCAGGGCAGCGCTGCACTTAGCAGGGGAGGAGGGGCCTCGGTGCTGACACGAGGCAGACAGACAGAATGGACGGCGCTCCCACCTGAGGACTGAGGAAAGGAGCGGCACTAAACCCAGGGAGGAAGACGGCCAGAGAAGGTAAGAGCAGAGCCAGGTGGGTAGAGGACAGCAGCAGATGCTAAGATTCATCAAATGGATAAACGGGGGCAGAAATGAGGGCTGCC